GAGACATACACAGGAAGGCAAGGGTGAGCAATCAAGGGTCGTTCATTCTACCATAACTTCTGTGGTTAGTGTCTGCCATAATCATGTAAAAATATAGTAATGCAACCTTTGGGAGAAAAAAAATATCCATAGGTAAAATACTGTCAAGAAGACTTCACACTTACCCTAATCCCAAGTCATTTCATTTATTTTGCATCTTTCTCACTTTCCATGTACTTGTAAGCAAAAATTAAAAACATATTAGAGATCAATAGACAAAACTGCATGGTCACATCTTGATATCTTTTTGCGTTCGAGAGTTATTCGGAAATCAGGAAACTTGAAAAAGCGTCCTGGATTTGGAACGCTGGTAAACAAAGGGTTAATCGCCTGTATTCCCTTCATAGTGAATGTACTTGGTACAAGTATTTGGGAAGTACGTGAGAAGTAAGCACTTGGTTAGTACTTGATCAAGAAATTGCCAAGTGTCGTTACTTGACTTGCTTCAGCCAAGTACTCGAACAAGCCAGTCACCCTGTTCGTTTGCATTGACCGTTTGTATATGAACACCACAATATCAATCGTTATACACTTATTAAATAAACTTATACATTTCTACTGTGTTGCACAAACTTAATAGCCGTGCATGTATTTGCTTTACAAAAGTAGAGTATAGCTGCAGAATACGTAGAAAATACAAGATGAATATAAATGGAATAAGTACTTAACCGAAGTTTTTGAAGTAAATGCATTGTGTCACCCAAGTACTTGCATTTTCCTTGTCAGGTATTTTTCGAAGTACTTGACAAGTGAATTTACTTGAAAAAGATCGCAAACACTGTCCTCATTACTCAATCCAAGTACATTTACTAGGGCTGTTAATTGTTTAGCTGCTCACAGAATTGTAAGCGGACGTGTCTTGGATTCTGTTTGAAAAAAACCATACTTTTATGGCATACTTTGCCAGTTTATGGTAGAATTCCTTACTTTTTACATAACACTATTCCTTTGTGACAATCATTGAGATCAAGTGTTGCTTACTGTCAAGGGCAAAATAAAATAGTTAATTAATTGTTTTGGTGGTTAGCATAAACTCTAAAATGTTTTGTATCACTTTATCTAAGATGATACAGTGGAAGACCAAGCTGTTTATTTAATGCTACCTTTCATTTTTCATACGTTTCACTAAAACTTCTATAGCAGGCCAAAGAAATACAGTACCACCGCCAAACTTTATCAGAAATTGCCTGATACTTAACTCTATCTAGCAACACAATTTGAATCTTCAATGCCGGGTGTATCAATCAGAAAAGATTCAACATTGAAAAAGTTTGGTATATGTTATTGATCATTTTTTGTCTTCAAATTAAAACTGATTTTTCTCATTTTCGTTACGTCTTTTTGTAAAAATAAGATAATATTCTTGATCGTCGAACAAAGCAGAACCGAATGGTGTATTATACGAATATAGAAAAAGAAAAAACAATTAGTCTTGGGCTCCTTCTATAAAAAACTCAGAAACAATTTCGCAAACCTATCTAGTTTTTTCTTTGGAAAGATGGAGCCGATTTTTGCACTTCATTAGAACAGCCATTAAACGAGCTTTAAAAGTACATATTTCTCTTTCTTCCATCGCGCTTTGTCATTGCGAAAGTTCATATTTTCAACACCAAAGGTGCAAAAATCCGAACTCTGCCGGTATGATCAATTTTAATCATCGGGAATCAAGTTTTATGCAATAAAAATATCATACTCGGAATCAGCGTCCCAAACTACACCGAATGATGTACTTTGTTAGTCTATCCGACTATTTTGATTTTTTTTCAATTTTTACGTTAAAAATTCCTGAGATTTTCACTACAAAAATAAAAATAAACGAAAAGTTTCGAAATATATATCATTCGACGTAGTTTGGGACGCTGATTCCGAATATGATATTTTCCTATTAGAAGATCACTGTCGATTATATAACTTGAAGACTATGGTCTTCTATTATGTCCGCGAAAAAAATCGGAAAATACCCTAGGTGAATTTTCAAAAAAATTTCACCCAAACGTACTTCTAATAGCGGATGGACTTCAAGTACGTCGGGGATACCGTTGGATTACTAGTAGGCGATAAAATATGACCGCAATAGAAGACCACCCTTTAGAACTTGACTTGCGGAACAAAAGAGAAGACCACCCGGTCTTCTATTATGGGGGAGGGGGTTAGTAGACATTAGCGTCGATATATATCACACAATACGTCGCCAAGATGTATCTTGCCGTAGAAAAATAATTGTTAAAAAACTTCAAATTTCGTGGGTTTTTTCAAACTTACCGATATTGTAACTCATTGTTTTCGGAGGCAGAGCAACAAAATAAAGTATTCTTTTAATCAATCGATAGCTTATGGAGTTCACTCTAAGAAATGTTCCCAAAGCTTTTGAATTTCATGGTTTCTTTATCTTTTACAAGCTACTACAAATACTCATTCCAGTGACCAAGAGGACGAAGGAATAAAGGTCTTTTTCTGATGAACGTAGATGACACCATATTCTTGAAGAAAATTTCTAGATCCCGTTGAAAAGGATCTTAAATCATTACAACAATACATGTAAAAAATTCACTAGGTTTTCTCAAGTTTCGGTTAAAAGAAATTACAGCCTATAAAAAGTAACTTTTCAATGAAACGTTATTTTTGTCATCATTTTTGAAACGTTTTCATGTCGTCCCCCCTTCCTAATGGTCGCTGGAGTGACCAAACCACCCTGCAAAAGACACAGTATGGCTGGTCGATCTGTCCATACCAATGGCATATGGGGGAGACTAATACTCTATTTGTATGGTTATTTTATCAGTAGCTCTTCTGAAATCGCTATGGAAAGGGTTAAAAAAATACTTCGTTAAGGGCATGATTACGCAGTCCTCCGGGATAACAGGCACACACTTTTCCTTACAAGATGCTTTATATTATAGATTTGGTCATCAGTTAGTGCTCTGTTTATTGTTATGGCAAGTTATAGTAATATATCTAATCAAGATCTCAGCGAAGGAACAATTCTGGCTGTTTTCAACATTCATAGTAAGAGATTCACCGACTTTTGCGCGAAATTCTTTTCAAAAAATGACTTAGCACTTTCAAGTTAATGGCTCTTCCCTGTTTTGCAACTTCTTATTCCTGTGACTAAAGGGTCATATGAAAAAATGTCGGCGTCCGCATTACATAAAAATGCAATAACTAGTAAAGTGTAAGGTTCTAAAGGATGATAATGATACACTGTAGGTAATCGTCTATGGCGAACCAGAAAATGACTATAAGCGACCCACAGGACGAATCCTGTTGGTCGAATCTTTTTTCACTTGGTTGAATGAAAATGTTTTAGCACACTGAATCGCGTACTGCACTGTAAATTTGTGTTCCATACAAACGGATGACATTTTCATCGACTTATGTTGGTCATCATCCATCTAACGAGGGAACCTTCTGAAGTGCTAAAACCCTTTTTGAATGAGACTATATTTAAAATGTGGGGTCTCATGGGCTGTGAAGAACCCCAACTTGGTTCGGCTCCAATCAGTTGCTGAGATTTCGAACTTTTACTCGAATTTTCCCATGGGGCCTAGATTTCAAGCAAAATCAGAGTTTTGAATTTCATGCTGAAAATTATCACATTTTGTAGCCCAAGCCAACTGTAGCCCGATGAAATAAGGCCGAGCTAAAATCCTCCTTCCACTGCGGTGAAAGAACGTTTTCCATGTGGGTACCCCAGGTAAAACATGAAGCAAGTTTTGAAAAAATTCTTTCATCGCAGTGGAAGGAGGATTTTAGCTCGGCCTTATTTCATCGGACTACAATTAGACTGGGCTACAAAATATGATAATTTTCAGCATGAAATTCAAAACTCTGATTTTGCTTGAAATCTGGGTCCCATGGGGAAAATTCGAGTAAAAGTTCGAAATCTCAGCAACAAAGCTGATTGGGGCCGAACCAAGTTGGGGTTCTTCACAGCCCATGAGACCCCACATTTTAAATATAGTCTCATTCAAAAAGGGTTTTAGCACCTCAGAAGGTTCCCTCGTTAGATGGATGATGACAAGCATAAGTCGATGAAAATGTCATCCGTTTGTATGGAACACAAATTTACAGTGCGGTACGCGATTCAGTATGCTAAAACATTTTCATTGAATTAAGTGAAAAAGATCCGACCAACAGGAGCACCTTAGGAGGTTCTCTCGTAAGTGGATGATTTTTCTCTGTTTAAACATGTCACCCACATACATGTAGATAGAAGTGTACCCTCAGATAGATCACCTAACTTACTTATTTTAAGCTTTTTACTATCTCGATATATGCTATCGATCGGCATATAAATGAAGGAAAACGGAGTCGAGCAGTTCGATATGTCTCTTCGTGAGATAAGCGAAACCTGTTCTCGAAAGTGTTTTTTCTTGTATATGGGCTATTTTCATGACAAATGGCCCTCAACTTTCAAGAAAAACGGATGAGAAGAATGAATGTGTAAAATCTTTGCTTTCAAATCAAAATTTGTTTAGTTGTTTTGTGGTCAGATGTAATATATATTTACTAAAATTGTTAATTAATTCACATTTGCTAATCACAGAAAAAACTTTCGCATTCACAATAATGATTTCATATATCGCAAATCGTCCTCTCAACTGAGTAGTTTCTTTTTTAATATTTTAGAAAAATGCTGGATCGGGAGATTGACATCCTATAGTATGTCAACTGATGAAAATATCGAAGTGAAATGGTATAGAAAGAAGAGAAACACTTTAACATATACTATTTTGGATAAAAACCCATCCGAACAGGTGTATCGGGAGAGTATTATATACATTTTACGTGAAAAAAATTGTGACACATTTGAAATGCCAAAAGATGAATGGAATGACATTTTGGAAACTGTTGAACTTACAAAAAAACAACTTGTAGAATGCGATAAATCAAGTAAATGCAGTCAGTATTGCTCTTATGTCGTGATATTCAAACGTCTTTTTTTAACTCAGTGAGTGTGGATGGTAATTTAGAAAAAGAAAATTTGGTTATTGGTCCATCATCGTTGTCAGACTTTGTCAAAATCAGACATATACAAAACGTAAGTGTTGTAAACCTTTTCTCAATCAGAAAATTTCTAGGTCATCATTCTCTAGAAAACAGATTTCATATTTTTTCAGTCGAGTTTTTGCAGTTGATATTCGAAAATCAAATTTTTCAAACAGAAGCGTTCTCTATCGTCACACACATCTGACTTCAGCATCTATCGTTACTTGAAATGGATCTTAGTCTTTCTGGAAGTTTCAGATCAGATATAATGCAATGGTAACGTATGACCTTCGATATGAATAGACACGCTCTGATGTAATGTAATCATGACAATGTAATCCCCAATTCCAGGAATAAAAACATTTAAAATGTTCTTAAAATAATATTATGTATGGATACAGTGTTAGTTCTTCAGTTAGCTAAAGGTGTGACAGAAATAACATCATGATCGTACTAGAATGAAAACTTCGAAACGATGTTTCTAGCTGAAAAGCTGGCATATTGTATATGAACTAATTTGTTTGATGGTAATATTGAATGAAAAAACTCAGAGAACCCATGTTTTAGAAGAATAAATATCTAATTGAGACTGCAACTTCAATACTAAATATATTATAACTCGCATTGTTTCGAAAAAACAGTGGGCCAAAATCAGTGAAAAGCGGATTCTCTCCTTTGAGCTCTTAACTACTTTTCCTATTTTTCGCCGGGAAAAACAGAAAAATGCCTATTTGAAGGAAAAGCTATCGACCAGAATCCTGTTTAACCTTTTACAACCTTGATATCCTCTACTGATTGTCCTATGAATGGATGAAGCGCAGGGGTACGTGTCAATAGGTTTCTTCGTAAGTAATATTGTGAAGGAGTTTATTACTTTCTTCCTCACCCGGGTTTAGAGGTGCCAAAGTACCAAAGTTTCTTGGCAACTCAGTTTGTAGATGAAGATGAAAAGTTGAGAAAATTACAAAGCGCCTAAGGAGAGGAAATTGCCATTCAAAAAACAATTTTCCATTTAAATTGACAGTGAAAAGTCAAACTTTATGAAAAAATGACTTTAAGTTTTTTCATAACAAAGTTTTATTACACGAGCCACAAATATTGGTTTCAGACTTTGCTCTCTCAAGCAAGAAAAACTCAAATCTCTAACACATCCGAAACATAGCAAACTAATGCTTAACATTCCCATGATTATTTTCGCGCTAGATATTAAAACAGGTCTTATCTTATCATTCGCTAGCGTTGATTAAAACATTGTATTTTACTCTCAGCAATTTTACTCTGAGAATAGAGGACAGACACTTGATGGTTATGAATCCTAACAGTTTAATTATTTCAGAAATTTTATTCTACTCAACATTTTTTAGTTACTATATTCTTACACTCGGATGAATCTGTTTGACTTTTTGCTACACACGTTATTATCGACCCATACAGAATGTAATTAAATTATTCTAGGAACGTGATTTTTTAGCATTAAAAGCAAATCAACTACAAATGAAAGTTGATATGCTAAAAGACTTTTCCGATCCATCCAAAACAAGCGAACAAATATTTGATAAATTAGTAAATTATATTGAAATAACATCGCCTGAGAATAATCTTGAATTATTATTATGTCAATTTGAATATTTAAAGTCTCTATGTCAACACCAACATCGATCTCTTGCAGGAAAGAATCTTCGACCATTATTAAAAATAATGTTTCGTATATTATCAAAAAATTCAATTGATGAAATCCTGTTAAATATTGTTAACGCTTGTTTAGTGCAATTAGTTGTGTTGGATATTGTTGATTTTAAATTATTGATCGAAACATTATTTGAATATTCAAAATCAAACAACAATAATGATGATGATGACAACAATCAGTTGCAACAATGGGCCAAACATATTTCTGATATTGTATGGAAAACGAATAAAGTTGGATGTTTAAAAGTGTTGCACGCCATTATTTTAGACAAACGAAACGATAAATATAATCGAAATTTGTCATATGAATGTCTTAAGGAATTAGGTATGATAAATAATTGAAAAAATTCTTGTACTCATATATTTTTTCTTTAGCAAGAAGCAAAGAAAATATGGATGATCGAGCAAAAGAAATTCTTTTAGAACTTTTTTGTGATATTCAACTCAAATTAGATTGCTCATTTGATTAGACATTAGCTTTTTGGGTTTGAGTTCACTAGAAAAACTAAACTGATTGTAAAATATTTAACAGTATCAGCCATCTCAGCTCCTATTGAGCATATATTTTCGCAGAGTGGTTTTATTATGAGGCCGGATCGATCGAAACTGTCTTTTTCAACATTGTATTTGTCGACATTTCTAAAATGTAATAAAAATTTGGTATAATATTTTCGTTTTTTGGATGCCCTTTGTATGTATGTATTAGTGTTCTTTTTCTGCTGATGATAAAGCGTGTTGACACTATGAGAGTAAAGCTTTCGAAGTGGTCACCACGGAAGAGGAATAGCCAAAATCCAAAAACAAATCTTTCTCCTAGCTCATTTTACGCCTTTTACTTGTACTCGAGTCCAATTTTTGAATACTTGTACTTCTAGGATGTATTAAGAGCATCAACTTTCAAATATTTACTTAACAAATATTGCGCATATCTAAATCATTCTAATGATATAGTCTTAGAGGACTATTTGAGCAGGTGCGTAAGATTCTTTTTGCCGAATTATAATTAATAATACTTTAATATTCTTTTTTACGTCATCGGATAAACCAATATCGCTAAATCAATGCACCTTAAAATGAGCATCGAACGTTGATGTAATGAGGCATATCGAATCCGAAAATTGTTCAGACATCGAATGTTGATTATGTGGAACATCGATATTGAAAGATCTTAACAAACTACTAGATCTAGTTTCCATCGATGTTAATAGACTACTAGTAGCATGTTTCAGCTTGTGCATAGCTTCTTTAAATAATTTTAATAACTGAATAAATTCATTCAATATTTATTTATCATTCAATGTTAACATTGATTCGCTTTTCTTCAGATCCTAGAAGAAGGCTTTTTTCACCTCACTTGAAAGTTTTCATTTTTTTACTTGCTTTCAGCTTAAATTTGGTCTTGACAAATAGAAACCAACAATTTCGCAACGAACATAGATAATAACGCATTTCATGTTTTTGAGGTACACTGTCTTCCATTTTTTGTACAAAACGTTGGATATGAAACAACTGATGTACCGATGTTTATTGGAATGAATGTCAAAAGAAATAAGTTTATAGATTTGTATAAAGAGGATATGGAGATGTTTCTATGTTCATGGACTAATGAGTTATTGTTATGTAGACATCGATTACGAAGAATGGATAATGTGAATAATTTATGCTTAAGAAGTTTGTTTAAATGTAACGTTACATACGACAATTATGAACATTGTTCATCTAAGCAGTTAATGAAAGACACATTTCGTGTATATAAACTATCCATGAACACATTTATTTTTGGAATTAATCAAAAAATATCGTGCACAATAACAAATTTGACGTAATACAAATTGAACCATTGTCGTTGATAACAATATCACATGAAAATCACTTACATTGAGAGAATTATCATTTAGAATCAGAAGATATATCGTGCAGCTCAAGTGGTAGTAATAACGTGTATGTACTTTCAAACGGCACTGTAATAACACATGATATGCATCAAGGAAATCTATCTATGTATAAAACAAGAAATTGTACAAAATTAGATATAAAACGTCTGCATAAATTAGTGATGGAAATGACTGATACAAGAGTGAAAGCTAAACAAATTTATGACAATGCTCGAAAGGTATCAGTGTTCAAACTTAAGATGAATACAGAAACAGCTATTACAGCGAGTTTTATTAGTCAAATGGTGGTGTTCGTAATTCCAGTAATTGGCATAATAATAATTGTGAAAAAAACGCTCGTATGTGTGCCGAGTATTCTTTGACATAAACATAAATTTATTAGTTTGCAAAACATTCACCTTATTATTATTAACTTATTCAAAATGTGTTACAATAAGAAAACACACTTCAGCTCAACTGTGTACTAGATGGATTATTTTTTTAGTTTAGATATACCACTCATATTGTTTATATTATTCCTACCCAGCGTCATATAGTTTACTCTTGTTGAAACGATTTTATCGTTTAGTCTACCAAAATCCAAAAAGTATGTTGTAAAACCACGGTTAATGTACAAGCTGAGGTCTTTCAGAAGATTCTGCTAGACAGCAGCATGGTCAGGTTTAGTAAAAAAGTGTTCGATACATTCTTTTTCACGTAGTAAGAAGAAATAAGTGAGTCATGATTATGAATTATATTATGCAAAAAAGGCAGTACATCTGTGCAAGAACAATATAAAAATCCCATAAATATGCCCAAAAAAACTTATTAAAACAAAACAACAACAATTAAAAAACACATCTAAGTTTTAAGCAACGTACAGTGTGAGATGTAACAGTAAACAAAAACAAGTAAAATAGCTGCACCATAAGAGAAAAAAATACGAACGGCACACACAAAAAAAGAAAAGTCTTGTATAAAAAATATGCGTTATTGGTTTTCGTGCTTGCTAAACGTCTAACTACATACAGAACTCTACAAAAGTATCCATTTCCCCATAATTCAAGAACCACGATAGCTAGTGACTTCTAGTTTGTGTGATCATAGCTCTCACTGAATGCTGATCACCCCGTCATCATGAGCCTCTTTTGTACGATGGTTCATGAGATATGAGCATTTCATTTATTTTTCGTAAAATTTCAATAACTCCTGATCTAAGAGAGATGAAAACTTTTCTTTTTTCGAAAATATAGCCACGACTCTATCCTACCTACAGTATGAATTTCGTGAATTAGTTGCTAATGGTCAGTGAAATACAGGTATTATACGGGCGAGGATCGCTTTTCTTGTTGAAAATTCGAGGTCCTTTGCGAAAACGTTTTACGGAATCATATTCATTCATATTCAGAGGCATATACATGTCTATGATTATTCTTTCGCGATTATGATGTACATTGAATACAGATTCTATCGTAGAAAAAGGCTCATGCTGACGGGGTGATCAGCATTCAGTGAGAGCTATGACCACACAAAACTATAAGCCACTAGCTATCGTGGTTCTTGAATTATGAGGAAATCGATACTTTTGTAGAGTACTGTACGAACACTCATACATATATACAAACAGCATAGTCATAGAAAGCAGATATCTGAACATGATTCAAAAATAATCAAAAGAAATCATCATGGAATATTATCATCTTCTAAAAGACATAGTCTTTTCAAAAAAGGAAATTAGCAGTATACGTCTGATGGTCAACTTTCTCGTAAGTGCGTTGCTTTTTACTAAGGTCACAGCGCTTCGAAGAAACTCCAAGCAGAGCTAAGAAACATCTTATTTCAAAGAACAAACATTAGTTTCGTTCCTTTGTTTTTCTGTTTACTATCTTTGTTTGTACATTTATATCTTGACAGTTCAGCGAGCACACCCTTTTACTCGCAGTGTGTGCTCATAAAAAAATATGTATGAACTGCGCACACATCATCAGAAGTGCTGGGCCGAAATATTATACAGTGATAACTCCTGTTTTGCTGCTGAGCGCGCTTTCAATGTATCGTCAACCATTTATAGTCACTCTTAAACTTTATACTGAGACTTCTTATAGCAAAAACACTCAACCGTCTTTTAAGAGCTTAAAGTAACATACGTTTAAGCGAGTGTTTAATTTGGCAAAGTTTGTGAATCAACAAATGAAGAAGCGCTAGAAGTAGATAGCGCTACCACAAAATTAGACTGTAAAATAATGAGTCATTGGGTTAACATAAGCGACTAAACTAGGACGTACCATTAACGGTCCACTTATGATCAATCTTTAGTCATTTTATCATCTTGTAAGATCTTATCTCAAGATCATGTATGATCTTGCGGAATCTCGTAACTTCTTGTTGTAAGATCTTACAAGCTCAGCTTATAAGAAATCCTAAGATCGTATAAGATCTTGTCAGTTCTTATCACAAGATCATACGATTTCTTGTTACAAGATCTTATAAGATCATACAAGAAGCGATGACTCATTCTTACCATATAAATTTTGCAGCGATATATAGTATATATAAAACATAGTTCTTATGATGAAACTTAGAATTTTTTCTTTCTCCAACTGCACACATCAGCTGAGCACAAATAAAGTGCATGGCTATAAGAAACGTGATTAGACATGTTACTAAGGACGTCAGAGTCCTTCTTATGCTCGAAAATATCATGAAAAGAAGAAAGCTGTTTTTTAAAGAGGGTCCGTAGGGGAGCTATAGTACAGAATTAGAGACATAATCTTATATGATCTTATGAAATCTTTCATGGTCTTGTCGCATCTTGCACGATCTTATCGCCAGACCTTGCAAGGTCATACAAGATCTTGCTGTAAGAAAAGTTTTATGAAATCTTATAAGATTCTTGAACCAAGATTCTTGTGAAATCTTGTGGTATCTTATAATATGATCTTATCAGGTTTTGTATGAACGTACAAGATCATATTTCAAGATTCTTCGCCCTGGGATTTTATGATCATTTCGGCGGCATTCAGGTATGTCTTAAAAAATGAGCTAGATACGATGTTAAATGATCATAAATACGGCACAGAGGGTCATACAAATATGGTCTTAAAATGATACATATAGTTATGATCTAAAACGAGATGATCATCGCAAGGTCATATTTAGTCCATTTTTCTTTCTATGTTCTTAAAATGATCATGAAATGACGTCATTTCTACATCATTTTTAAGCCGTCACATGGTCATTCTAACGTGATTTTAAGCCCATACCATTTATTGCTCATAAATGGCTCATTTATGCCTCATTTTCTTTCACTCGGGTGTATACTATCCAGGCCATGAAAAATGAGATAAGATGATTTATCTCATTTCAATTTTTTCTTTTTTAATATGGCACTACTTTTGCAAAAATAATGAAGTTTGACGGCAAAAGCTGGAAAATACGGGTGCATTTCCCTGTTTTTGTTACCTGTTTCAAAAAAACTAATTTTCTTAACAACAAAACAATATTTTCCAAAACTTATTTTTAACTTTTTTCCACTTCCGAGGCACTAAAATATAAGTAACTTACCTAAAGTTATTACATGACTTTGCTAGTGTCAATGTTCGAACATAGTATTCTTGAATTACGTGACGAACAACATAACAACTAAGTGATACCATCTCAATCATGGGAGACTACTCGACTGCATTCTCATTCCATCAAAAGGCACCTGAAGGTCAAAAATTCCTCCAAATCATCCAACATTGGCTATTAGATACGGTAAGATGCGTCTCGTCCATCAATTGGCGGGAGAGTAATTGTCTGCACTCTCAATCTGTCAAAAGATTCTTGAAATACTAGAAAAATACCTTCCTCCAAATCATTAAAATCTATTATTTTATTGGAAAAGCACAGTTGAAATCTGGTTTATATCGGACGATATCCAAATCTTTCCGATATAATTCGACAAATTTATCATGTTCGGCATTGACATTAATATATACCAATGATTGTACCGTTCGATAAGCCCTCTCTTGCATGAAAAACAGCAGAGTGTGTACTTAAAAAACTTTAAAAATAGTGTGGCAGAGATGTCACAGCGTTGCCTTTTTGCTCATTTTGTTTTGAGCATAGATCCGTCACGAAACGTCCTAGAGAGCTCGGGAACATCTCAAACTGACGAAAAAATTATTTTAAAGATTTTAAGATTAATGCGCCAAAATGTTTTCTTAAGAATCTACATTCAAAATGATGACACCTACTTTTTACGGAAAAGACCGGAAATGTAGCTCTTCACATTTTCGTCACAGCTTTTCGAAGAAACACTTTTCAGCGGACGGATGGATCTCAGATTCAGAAAAAAAAACGTAACGTTCTGGTATCTCTCCCAGAGGAGCTACGTGGATAAGCCGTCAACTAGACAACAAATTGGGAGATGAAACACAAACTATGACTGCCTCCATAATATTTTCAACTCTTTTTGGTTTTAGGAAAATAAAACAGTATATAAATCAATTTCGACTTGTATCACCTCACTTCCTCATATAGCGCACATTTATGAGAGTCATTTTACGAAAGATTTACATTTCTAGTTTTGAAAAAAATCAGGTTTAATATGTATCGGAAAGCACCAGAAACAACCGCTACAGCCTTAAACCTAGAAATTATAGAGGAAAAGCTCAGTCAGTCTCTGTATAACTCATTAAAAAATTTTGAATTATGTAGCAAAGCTACAAAAGGTCATTTTTCCATTGTTTATTTTGGAAAAAATGTACTGACTGAAGTGAAAGTAGCTTTAAAAAGAGTTCAGGTAAGTTTCATAAAACGTTAGAAGAAGTAATTTAAAGAGTGCCAGAGTACAGCATGCGACTGCTAATTTTAGCTAAAATGATCGTCAAGAAAGCAGCTGAAGATTGTAAAAGAGAAATAATTCTGCTACAAGTAAGTGATCTGAGAGTCACACAATCTTACGTGAATATTTTTAAACACTTTCATTATTATTCTAGAAACTCGATCGATTCTTTTACTAAATAGTTATTATAAAGAACTTCAGTCGTCACTATATAAAGTAAATAAAGTACCCAGAAGTGAACCTTTTTAAGTGACTATTAGTCCACTTACTAGTGGTGATGGTACTTTTATATTTATTAGTAGACAAATAGTGTTTTCGATGTGTTCACTAGTTAATACTGCCCACTTAATAGTGCTTTCTAATACTTGAGACTTATTGGCAATGTCTAGTACCTACCCCTAAATAGTACTTTATAATATGTACCATTTCTATAGTATAATTATAGGAAGATATTCTACTTATCGTGCTGTGGAGGCTGGATTTGAACTTTTGTAGTTAAATCCGTCTATTTTTTCAAGTTTGAAAACATATACTTGCATGCACCACGTTCTGCTGAAATAATCAGTTCCATTTAGATAAGACCGAAATTTAGCTCAATCGACATTGAAATGAATGTAGCATATGTCAGAAATATGCCATAAAGTTCATTTTTATTCTACTTTGTATTCGTACAAGTTTTATTTCAACATCAGTAGCTAAATGATTCGACGTTTCATCAGTAGCATAAACATAACTACTTAAGTACTTTAATCATAACTTCACGTGTTTGCTGTCTTACTTCGGTGCACGTCGAAATCTGCAAAACTACATCAAACAAATTATAATTATAGAAGCCCACACTAATTTGCACGAGCTAACCGCCGTATTCCCATCTTAAACTTTAATTTCAAACTTAATTAACGAACTTTAATTTCTCAATAACCCAAAACTGCACATTTATATATTGTATCTATAAAAGATCAGTTTCGGTCCTTGAACGAATTACATCCCATGTCGATACTGAATGCTTTTGTTGAATTGTATTAGAGAGTATTCAACTATCGATTCGAAGAATTTCTTACGAAAGAGCACTTGATCCCAATTCAGTTCAGCTTTCAGTTAGCAGTGACTCAACTGTGATCACTAATTGAATAGATATGCGTCTTGTCTACTAGATCGGAACAGTTTTATTCGTTGAAAACATGTCGGCCTTCGACAAGGTTTTGCACGGTGTCTTGCTAATTACACTTACAACGACAACGATGACTGGTATTAAATGACATTTCAACAGTCTGTGAAAAAATTGTTCTAAAACTCCTTTAAAAAACGCCGCTTAATAGATATTATCAAGATTGTTTTGGGAATGTCTATTAATGATGAAAAGGTGACAAAAAAATGTTCAAGATTGGAAAGATGCCACTTAATGGACGGCATTGAATGTCATCCTTATCGTTGTTATTATGGCGTTATAATGAAGAGGTTCGTTTGTTTCCTTGATTGAAAGTTAGGATCATATGAACGAAATGTCCTTCCGATCGTCCGCAGTAGAATACCAAACCTCTGTTAACCTATTTTAGATAAAAAAAAATGACATTAATAATCACAGCAGAATGAACGAGCAGACAAAAAGATTGCATTTATTTAGAGGGGCCGTTCTGTGAGTTAAAAAGAATATCTTGGCTTACGAATTATAAGTTGAAGCTTGAGCTTTTCTCTTCAGAGTAATTCATACTGATCCAAAACCAGAATCTGGTGAGTTGCTGTCTGTCGAAATTGGTGTACTCGATGTCGATGATTCGTTCAAGAATTTATTGTACATTGTCATTGACAACTGAGTAACTTCAGCGATAACCGGACGACCTTTTGGTTCTAATGTTAGGCAGTGACTCACTAAACCACGAAACTAAAAGAATAAAACAGATCAAAAGTCAGACAAATTTGATATGGAATCGCTCAGTTTACTTACTTCAGGAGAATATAATTTACTTGGTAATGGTGCATAATCAAGTTCATCGATTCTTTTACATAAGCCTAAGAGGGTTAGATTTTCCTTGAAGAAGGGACTTCGAAGTGCAATCATCTATACAAAGAAAGGCGCATAAGTAGAGTTGAACACGAACAGTTTCTACAACTTACTTCATAGAGAACACAGCCAAGTGACCATATATCTGCCGGAAAACTATAGCCTGGATCCAGTTGGTTTATTCGTTCTGGAGACATGTAATAGGGTGTTCCAAGTTTAGAATGTGTGAAATCGATTTCGCTGGGAAAGAAACGGCCTGTGAAGCAAGAAAGACTGTCTAATACAAAAATACGAAATTAAACGATCGGCTCACCTAAACCAAGATCGCCCAGTTTTATAGTTCCTTGAGCATTGATAAAAATATTCGCTGGTTTAATATCTAAAATTCGGAGAAGAGTGAAAGTCAAATGTTTGAAATAACAGCAGTTTATACGTGTTTACCTCTATGCATAATTCGTTTTGAATGCATATGTTCTAAGCCGGTACAAATTTGACTAAAAAATTTCCAACTTGTTTTCTCTGATAGTAACTTCTTGTTTTGTGTAAAATACTGAAATGAAATTATTACTCGTGAGCAAGGTTATCGGAGGTTAAAAACATATATTCGACATAGCATACTTCAATCATTTTAGCAAGATCACCTGCGCTAGCTAGTTCCTGTAAGACAGAGGATGAGAAAAGCAGTCATTATACAAAAATAATAATAAAACACTCACCAAAACAATGTAAAGATCATTATTAGTATCGGTGAAATGAGAAATATATTTTATCACATTTGGATGATCGAGTTTCTAGAATAATAATGAAAGTGTTTAAAAATATTCACGTAAGATTGTATGACTCTCAGATCACTTACTTGTAGCAGAATTATTTCTCTTTTACAATCTTCAGCTGCTTTCTTATCGATCATTTTAGCGAGCTAAAATTAGCAGTCGCATGCTGTACTCTGGTACTCCTTAAATTACTTCTTTTAGCGTTTTATGAAACTTACCTGAACTCTTTTTAAAGCTACTTTCACTTCAGTCAGTACATTTTTTCCAAAATAAACAATGGAAAAATGACCTTTTGTAGCTTTGCTACATAATTCAAAATTTTTTAATATGTATCGGAAAGCACCAGAAACAACAGCTACAGCCTTAAACCG